AAAAAAAAGAAATCCATACTCAGATACATCAAAGTGAAAGTACAGAACACTAAAGACAAAGAAGAGATTGTAAAAGTTGATAGAGAAAAAGACAAATTACCTCCAAAGGGATGATAATTAGCTTTGACAGCAGACTTCTCTACAGCAGTTTTAGTTACATCTTGGTTTAAATTTATAAATTAAACATATAGTCAGGGATAGAAATCAGAAGCAGTAAAATAATATCTATACACATTAACTGTCAATCTAAGAGTCTAACCCCAACAAAACTAAGATTTCAAGAAGAATAGAGAAACAGACATTCTGGACAAAACTGACTGCATTTATAACTAAGAGGCCCTCAATAAATTAACTTGGAATGGATATACTTCAGTAAAAAGGGAAATTATTATTTTTATTTTTCAAATACATTTTTATTGATTTCAGAGAAGAAGGGAGAGCTAGAAACATCAATGATGAGAGGGAATCACTGATCAGCTGCCTTCTGCATGCCCCCTACTGGGGATTGAGCCTGCAACCCAGGCATGTGCCCTGACTAGGAATTGAACTGTGACCTCCAGGTTCATAGGTCAACACTCAACCACCGAACCACACCAGCTGGGCAAAAGGGAAATTATTTTTGAAGAAAAGCCTAAGATTTAATAAAGAATAGTAGGCAAAATAAATTTTAAACATGTGGGTAAAACTAAATATACAATGACTATATGTTTAATTTATAAATTTAAACCAAGATGTAACTAAAACTGAACAAATATAACATATAAATCAGAAATCAATAAAAATATATTTTAAAAATAAAAATAATTTCCTGGCCGAAGCTGGTTTGGCTCAGTGGATGGAGTGTTGGCCTGCGGACTGAGGGGTCCCGGGTTCGATTCCGGCCAGGGGCATGTGCCTGGGTTGCGGGCACGTCCCCAGTGGGAGATGTGCAGGAGGCAGCTGATTGATGTTTCTAACTTTCTATCTCTCTCCCTTCCTCTCTGTGAAAAATCAATAAAATATATTTAAAAAAAAAATAATTTCCTGGTCAGGACACATGCTCGTGTTTTGGGCTTGGTCCCCAGTGGGGGGCGTGCAGGAGGCAGCCGATCCATGGTTCTCTCTCATCATTGATGTTTTTCTCTCTCTCCCTACCGCTCTGAAATCAATACAAAAACATTTTAAAAAAGAACAAATCACCTATCCATGAAGTTTTGAAAAAAAAATTTGTGCTAGTTTTGCTGTCACACCTCAAACTGCAAAAGTTATGGCCACCATAGGTGGTAACTACTCAGTTAAGATGCAAAAGGCATTAAATTTGTGGGTGGAAGATAAAGAGAAAACTTATGTTCCAACTGACGGTGTGTTGAGCCAAAAGCACTGAACCTTTATTAATACTTCAGCAAAGGATCCCTGAAAGGAGTGACACTAAGCCATTTACTGCAAGTAAAGGATGGTTACACAGATTTAGGAAGAGGTTTGGACTGAAAAATATAAGAATTACTGCCGAGGAAGAGCTGTTGTCACAGTTACAACAGAGTTAAATAAATTAAGGAAAAAGGTATGTATTCATAGGTGAAAACATACCATAGATAGGGTGCAGTACTAGCCATGGTTTCAGGCATCTACTGGGGTGTTAGAACGTATCCTCTGTACATAAGGGGGGAAACTACTGTATCCTGAAACAGAATAATACTAGAGGCCCGGTGCACAGGAGCCCTCTGGCCTGTGGGGACTGGGTCGAAACCGGCAGTTTGACATCCCCCGAGGGGTCCCGGATTGCCAGAGGGCACAGGCCAGGCCGCGGGACCCCACCGGTGCACAAATCCGTGCCCTGGGCTTCTAGTAAACACTATAATATAGCAATAAAAAGATTTGCAAAACATATTGGGCAACAACAACAAAACACTGCTAGTAATTAGCTAGAATACATACAACATGATGAAATGGACAAAACTAAATGAGGGTTGCTCAGAGATACATACACATGTGCTAAAACCATTAAAATAAGGGAAGTGAATAACTGATAAATTTTAGGATAGGGTTCTCTTTCCAGGATAGAGGTTCCCTCGGGAGAGAAGGGAAGGCAGAGTGTAATTAAGGAAACACGCACAGGACTTCTGTCTCTTAAGTTCAGCGACGGAAACACTAGTGTTTATTTTATTCTTCTTCTTTACACTGTACACATCTCAGGTAAGTGTAGCTCACAATTGTAAAAGTTAGACCTGCGTTAAAGGCAACAGCAGAGTATCACTCCCTGCCGGATGTCCCTATCATCGGTGAAAGAGCAGAGAAATGAATGAAGCTGCTGACAGGCGCTGTCAGTCCTGGCCTACAGCCCTGCAGTATTCTTACTTTTTAACTTACTTTCCCTTCACATTATTTACGAATAGGATGAACTCACAGGCAAACAAAGACAAAATCTGTATGTATCACCTCACATAGATGGACAATGTTACTTTCACTATTCCATAGCTGCCTATAGCTCACAAGCCTTTATCCATCAACATTGTCTATTTTTTAACAGTTATACAATTCCTTGCCTTAATAAATGAGCATGTATAAAAATTTAGCCTGTTCTTAATGATTTTAAGTCATCCTCATTATCATCACATTGAGGAATATGTGTGCTTTGCTAGCTAGGGATTCTTCCATCTCTTCCACTGAGGAAGCTTTCAATTTTCACTGCTGTCAGTATACCTGATGCTTATTTCTAAGTTGGTATAATATGAAACAAAGACATGTTTTCAAGAAAAACTGGGTAGGCCCTGGCCGGGTAGCTCAGTTGGCTAGAGCATCATCCCGATAGGCCAAGGTTGCAGGCTGGATCCCCGGTCAGGGCACAGAGAGGGATCAACCATTGATTCCTAAAATCAATAAAATAAAAATTTAAAAAAAGAAAGAAAAAGTGCTAACAACCAGAAAGCTTAATTTTACATGAGATACATGAGGGTATTTTATTTCCTCTCTATGGATTAAAGAGTAGGGATCGTGACAGGGTTTTTGATACTTCTGAATGGACATAACCAAAAATTACTTAAATCATTGGCTAATTGGAGTTGCAGATATTAAAGCTTTTCCAAAAAATTCTAATTAATATTAGAATTTATGACATCCTAAATCATTATGTAAAAACATTTTTCATAAGATGAAGAAAAAAAGAGTCTTTTTTTTTTTTTTAGTGGAAACTTAGAATAATTTTATAAGCACTCTGATGATCACCATTACCTCTTTTTTGGCTTCTTTTTTGGGATCATAATCACTATCGTTTCCATCCATTGGATGTGTTTCTTCCACATCATCATCACTGGGAAGAGACAGAGATTAGTAAACTTAATTCCTTTCTTTTTATTCTATTCCAGTGCTCTTATCAAATGGTAATATCAAATGCTAATAATTTTACTAAATATTTCCCAACAGAACAAGGGCTGTCCCGAGGAGAGAAGCTTTTAAAATTTAGATTTCTGTAGTGTTTAGAAATAATTAAGGCATACAGAATCATTTTAGCTAACATATCCGCTAAATATCTTTCCTAAGTAAATAAGGAAGATATTTAGAAAGAAATATTTGGGAAAGAGAACACTATTAACTTGATGTAATGCTTGTTATTTTAGTTCTCCTGTTGGATAATAAAGACAGACAAAAACCAGTAAGCAAAATTATTTTATACTGCCATAAAGATACAGCTACAGTAACATGGACTTCAGAGTCACTCAGGTAACTGTGGAAAAGCATCTTCTAGAGAATATATTTATTAGATCCTAAATATATGTATTAAATATATTACTACTAAAAAAAGCATTTGTGATTACAGTCAAACACAGCTCAAATATAACTCAGTTGCAATGTTTGCTGGCTATGATTAACAGTTCAGAGTTGAAGAGAGTTCTTACTACTAAGATTTTTGATCACTCAGCCTTTCCTATCAGAGCAGAAACATGAATGTAAGAGTAAGAAGTACTTACAATATGTTGTGATAATTTTTCTGCCTTAGGAAATGTAAGCAATCCGATACAGTGTTCCTATCAATGTAACTATATAAAGGTATCCAACCTACCTGTCACCCTGATTATGTCTATTAGCTAGTTTCCGAGCCTGGCGATCCATCAAGCTTGTCCTAGATCGAGTTTTTTTCCAGGAATAGTAATATTTTACAAGACTAGCAATGGTCTTATCTGGAAGCTTAAAAAAAAAGTCATGTTAATATCAGCAAGTTTAATTCATAAACTCCAATGAACAGAATATTTCTGATATTATTCCTTGATACTTAGCAAACAAAGGCATAGATAAAACATTTTCATGAATACCTTTATAAATTATAAAAATAAAAAGTGTGTTGTGGTCACAGTACTCTACCCACACCTATGACACTGACATTGTTGAATAAACATGCCTATTTGTTTGAGGGAGAGGAGAAAGACGTCACAAACACAGCAAGAATGGCCCCAGAAGTCCCCAACACAGGCAATGTTAGCATTTAATATCTGTTTTCCTTAAATAATTAATTCTTTTTTCCCTATGTAAGTCAGTTTTTATTGATATGTAATTCACATATCATAGAAATCTCCAATTTAAAGAGTACAAGTCAGTGGTTTTTAGTATATGCGCTAGTTATGTGTAACCATCACTAAATTCCCGACATCTTCATAACCTTGAAAAGAAATCCTATACCCATTAGCAGTCATGCTTATTCTCCCCTTAACCTAGTCTCTATGGATTTGCTTATTCTGAACACTTCATATAAATGAAATCATACAGTATGTGACCTTTGATATCTTACTATGAAGATTAGTGGATCTGTAGAACAATTTTACAACATGCTTCTTTCAGTTAGCATATGTCCCAGAAAAGCTATTCAATTCTTAACAATGATTTTTTGGAATCATTTTCTTTTAACCGGTTTTAAAATGAGAAATAACGCAAATAGACTTTAGCTACCAAATAAAGTCTTTGGGCAAAAACTGACAAATGATCATGCACTGATTTGTCATCCAGGCAAACAATGCACACTCCCAAAAACGTTCTTTTCGATTACGGAAGACACTCAGATATATTTGCAAACGTTATCTAGTTTTTATCCACTCAGGTTAAAAGTGTTTAATGCAGCACTTCTCAGGTTTATATTATTTTGACACAATACTAAAAACTTAAGAGCTAAAAAAGCAATTTTCTTGTTAAAAAAAAAAGCAACAGCACTTGGACAATACTGAATTACAGAATATTTAAAAATTGATGTTCATATCTAAAGGAATATAAATTAGAAAATAAAATCCTTATGTTAAAAAATAAAACATTTAAAAATAAAATTATGATTTTTTTCCTGGAATGACAAACTTTTTAAACAATACCATTACACATATATTTAAGTCATAATAAAAATTAACTTATTACAATGAAATAGCAAATAACCGTCATGCCTTAGAATGGTTGTAGACAATAGCACTCTATGCAAATACACCTATTTCAAAATATTTTTAAAAGTTAACATTATTGGAAAACTTGTTATCTATTTAAGAATTCGAAAGTTTAATATCAGCATAAAATATCATGCAGGTATGAATCACACTAAGACCAAAATTACCATACCATTTGTTGAATCCTGTGAAAGCTCTTCCCATGAAAACTAAAGGCTTGTTCAAATAGGACTTTATCTTCTACTGTCCACTCATCCGGAAAGGGAGTAAAATTAGGGAGATCAGCAAGGGACTTCTCAATGTTATGTTTATGCCAGAACAACATGCCAAGTGCCTTTGAAGAGAAATCAATCCCCTTTGGTTTTTAATGGACTTACGTTCCATCACACTTAAGAGAATTAAATACAAATTATGTTAAAATCTTAAGCCTATGACTTCAACTAAAGATACACTCACAGTTTGGGATTTTAATCAGGGTTGCCCAAGTAGCAGACCTCACTTATTATTTCTTTTAAATCAATGCCTCAGAACAGTGAATGTTCTTGCATACCATGTCTGCTGCAGAATCTAGGAAACACAGTTAGCTGAGGAGAGTGGCTATGATTACTGCAGCACGTTTGAAGGCTCCTATCAAGACTTTTACCCACATTTATTCATCTGTCAATGTGTAGAGAAAAATACACTTTAAAAAAATCCAAAAAACCAGTAATTGAATGAAAACTATGGATTCTAACAAAAAACTGGAAGTGCTCAGTCGAGACTTTGAGAAATACTTGTTTTAACCTTTTAGAAATATATCATGGACTAAACAATTCTAAGAAGAGTACCTCAACAATAAGTATAACAATCTTTTATCATATATATTTTTAAAAGTTCTTTATTATCATAATGTACACAAAGAATTAGTATGGGCATGTTAATAACTTGAATGACTTTATTAACAAATCGTAGGAAAGCCTGAAATGAATGATTTCCAACAGTTCCACAATTTTCTCTTCTATTGTAGGTAAATAGTAGGCCTTTGTCTTTATAATAAGGTACTGAATTAAGGGATAAAGTTTTATTTCTTAAGAGACTTAGCAACTTTTTCAATATTGAGCTTTAAAGTTAATTTTTGTACTTTGGTAATACTCCTTTAAAATGAACATGAAAATGAACCTATATAGCAGTCACATTTTAAAGGACTAACTTTCTTAAATATTAAACAGAAAGTCAAGGCTTAAAAACAAAATACATAATGAAAGGCTTCAAAATTCACAAAAAAGATTACTGCATTTGGATAAACATCTCAATTTCACAAAAATGGTTTTTTATTATGTAACCATGTTACTGACCATAAAGTTAGCTCTTAATAATCCAGGTTACAGATAATTCACTTATTTTACTAGTAATTCTGATAAAAGTAATTCTGATCAAATACTTAGTTGAATTGAAATTTAAGAACCTCTATTTCATTTTTATTGTTCCAAGCTCTTCATCCCCTCATTACTAGGGATAAATAAATCATAAGCTATATATATGTGTGTGTGTGTGTGTGTGTGTGTGTGTGTGTGTGTATATATCTCCTTTTAAAGTTATCTAAATTTAAAAAAAACCTTTATGCATTATTTCATTCATAATGGAAAAATCTTAAATATTTCTAAAAGTTTAAGTTCTTTTAGATTCAAAAGTCAAAGAGAATTACCTGTACTCAAAAAATTTTCTCTTTTTCGTAAGCATTTGCCAGAGTAGTCATGAAGGCTTTCAGACACTTTTATAACTCAAATAGAGTAAGAAACAGAGGTATTTAGAGAAAAATGTTCAAGCCCTTGAGACAAATAATGTTTATAAAAGCAAAATCCTTAATGTTGAGAGGTCAGACTTTGTTAGGACTTTTGGTATCTCTAAAGTTGGTTGAACTGCTTAACTTTTAGAACAGAAATGATCATGAGATGTTCTCTGAATTTCATAAATGTTGAGGCAAGCCTTAATATTAAAATGTTTCTGTACATACCTGTTCCACATTGTAGCCATGTTTCTCCTTTGCAATGGCAATATATTCATCCACTGTAATGAAACAATGGTATATAATTAATTATACTTACTTCATTTGCCCAGGTCTACGATTTGTGTGTGTGTGTGTCTTTTTAACAAAGCAGAATTTAAGAATGTATATTACAGGAATAAAAAAAATAGCCAAAGTTATTTTTCATAAAATGTTACAAAAAAGACTTTTAGTTCTAGGAATAGGATCAAAGGTACACTTGGTTTAAAATTTTACTTATTATGACTTATGTGACCAAAAAAATCAACCTGTGGGTAGCCAACAGAGCCTAATTGCAGTATAATACATTAGATAATTTCTTGATTTTCTACCACAGTCTTTATTTGAAATCACTCAGCTATTTAAGACCCCATTTCATATTTAGAATAGGCCCAAAGCCTTTACCTTCCTATTTTGTCAGCTACATATAGTTAGCAACATATTTAAATATACTTTAGTATCCCTAAAATTTTCTCCAGCATTTTCTGCTAGCTATACTAAAGGTGTTTGAATATTCCAGTTTAATTTATCCTCCACATGTAGTCAAGCCATTAGAATGTAGATAAGCACAGCTCCAGTGATGATACACTGGCTATTTCAAGGCCTCATTGAAGAGAAATCTATTTCACATTCAGCAAGACTCAGTTTTATGTGAAGTCTCTACAGTCCTTCTTGATCCATCTATATTAATATTATAGTATTATAATATGTGTGTGTGTGTTTGTGTGTGTGTGTGTGTATATATACATATACATATATTTTTTAAGCACATTTTTGAGAAGCAGTGGTTAGGAATTCTGATTCTAGAACTGCTAGTCTACCTGAACTTGATTCTCAGCCTTGTTACTAATGTTTTAACTTTAGGCAATTAAACTTGACCTTTTTGTACCTTAGTTTCCTCACTTTAAATAGTGATAAAAATAGTACCTCCCTCTTAGGATTAAATGAGCTAATAGGTGTAAAGTGTTTAAAATAGCACATTTTAATTACTTTATAAGAATGTGTTATCATCATTGCTCACTACAATATAGATTAATTTATACATATGCTATTATTAAAAAATGCTGTTAGAATAACTATCTTTTATAGATGTTGTTATATCTCCCTAAGATTATAAACTTTTGGTACAGAAAATCCAAATATTATATTCTGTTTAGAACCTATAGTACTTAAACACATGACAGGTCTAAATATATGCTAATTAAATTTAACAAAAATGTCCTATAGACCTATAAATAGAAGGCTAAACAATACCAATCAACCTATGGTTCTTAAGTCAGGCTTTACATTAGAATCAGTGGAAGAGCTTTTAAAAAGTAAGTCTGGCCCTGGCTAATGTTGCTAAGTGGTTAGTGTTGGTCCCAGGAACCAAAGGGTCATAGGTTTGATTCCTGGTCAGGGCATATACTCAGGTTGCGGGTTTGATACCCACTGGGGTACATATGGGTGGCAGCTGATTGATGTTTCTCTCCAACATCAATGTTTCCCTCTCTCTACCTCTCCCTCTCTCTCTAAAAATCAATAAAAACACATCCTCGGGTGAAAATTAAAAATAATAATAAATAAATAAAAAGTAAAGTCAGGCTCCACCTCTGAAAATTCTGATTGATGGTTTGAGACAGGAGACCAGACATCAGTAGTGTTTATTTTTTTAAAGTTCCCCCAAGTGGTTTCAATGCATAACCCTAGACCTTCAGTTGCATATTCTACATGCACACCATACTATCAGGAAATGTTGGTTTTCTAAATTTTGTTTATCACTTTGCTCAGAAAGGCACCACTGTATAAAAACAGTGCTAAAAAAGCAAAAGCCAATGACACTCTGATACTCAGTTTATGAATGAAAACCTTTGCCTATGAGTGAACCAAAGAAACACAACAGTGCTTAAATAGGAAAAATGATCTGGTATGCAGAATATTTTTCAGTTTTCAACTTTGAGTTCTCTTATTGCATCAATAAGTATACTTAGACTTACTATTATATGATATTACTTTTCTAAATAAACCATCATGGGACAGCTATCAGATTTAGTAAATATTTTTAAAAGACCAGCTTATTTTACAGCTGCTAAAGGAGCTGTTGAGTGGTTCTTTTGTTTTAGTAAATTCAATGTAACTAAATGGAGGGATGGGGATCTTAGTTTTGTTACCTGCACGTTTCCTATATCTGATGTGCCGCAAAGGATCAGGTCCGCTACATCACATTGAAGTCTAAAGCCACACCATGATTCAAGAAGTGCATGGTCAATGATCCAGAAGGCCTCCGTCCAGAAATGGAGAGCACAGAGATGACCTGATTGATGGCTGCTGGAGTCAGTTCTTTCCCCTTTCCTCTTTAACATGGTACTGACAGTGGGCTCTTTGAAGTTGGAAGGCTTTTCTTTACATCTCCATACACTGAGGAAAAACCTGGGCAGATGTCTACATAGCAACTCCCTCCCCTGCTCGAGGATTTAAGCAGCAAAATGCCATCAGATCCTAGGTTTCCTCTGTCTTCCTGGGCCTGACACAAATTGGAATGATCAACCCACTACCTTTCAAAAGGAAAAACATTCTAATATAACAACCTCCATCAAACACAACAAAACAAAACAAAACAAGGACAAACTATTTTTTCTTATGAGAATCTAAGAGACCCCCAAAACAAATAAAAAATTGCATTCTGAATTGGTTAGTAGATGCCTATTGACATAAATGTTCAAGTTCAGAAAACTTACATTTGGCATCTGGAATACTGTGATATGGAGACCATACAAGCATTCCTCCATTGTCTTTATCTGTGTACTTTGTAGCACCTGGGGAAAAAATTAATTACTTTGAATACGATGGATTTTTATTTACATTCAAAATGAGTATAACCAAGATTAGTTTATTTCTACATTATTATAGTACCTGCAAAGGAAGGCAAAGAGACAAAGTACAGAAAAATAAAGAGAAGGAAAACCGATTTACATCAAATACATTAAATATCCCATTTATAAAAATGAAGGAGCCGAAACCGGTTTGGCTCAATGGATAGAGCGTCGGCCTGCGGACTGAAAGGTCCCGGGTTTGATTCCAGTCAAGGGCATGTACCTGGGTTGCGGGCACATCCCCAGTGGGAGATGTGCAGGAGGCAGCTGATCGATGTTTCTCTCTCATCGATGTTTCTAACTCTCTATCTCTCTCCCTTCCTCTCTGTAAAAAATCAATAAAATATATTTAAAAAAAATTGAAGGAAATTTCATAAACACTGAAGCTTACCCCCCTTTAAATTAAAAAGAAAGATTTTAAGTACATTACACATCCCTACTTCTTTATAGATAATAACTGACTTAACCTTGTACACATTACTTAGGAGTCATTAAAAACTCTTTTAAAACCATAGAGAATACCTCAGGTGGTAAGTTAATTGTTTTGCCCTATATCTAAATGGGCCAAGATTACTGTAATTTTTAAGTACTTGTATCTGCTTTTTATAGTTTTTATTTAATCTTATTCCTGGCTAGGAGTCTGCCAGCTATTCCTTTTTAGACTTCATTTGTTACATTGTACATTTATAAAAGTATGTGCTCTGTGTAAGAAAACAAAGTAAAACAATGTAAAAGTTAAAGCTACTTCTTTTTAAAGTAATTTGAGAGTCTACCTCAATCTAGGAATACACTATTGCTTGTTTCTAATTTTACTTCTAACTTGTTATAATCTAAAAAATCCGAAAAATCGAGCTCTACTGATAGACAGCAGGTAAATTAAGAATAGACGGAATGAACGAATGCCTGACACAGTTATCCCAGAGCCAAGTACATGCCTATGAGGTCTGGTCTTTCCTTGGCTTCTTCCTAATTCATAGGTACATTCAAGGTAATTCAAACTACTAACAAATGAAGCATTGTTGCCACCTATTTTAAGAAGACTTGTTTATAAACATGTCACAATTGATTTTTATAAGGTGTTGATAGCTACCAGCAACTCATGGCCACAATTTCTGTCTATCTCTGACCCTCTTCTGCATGTGGGTCTCTGGCTCCCTCATGCATTCAAGGTTTCCATACTATGTATTAAATTTTGTTATTTTCTCTTGCTAAAAAATAAAATATATATTTGATTTTAAACACATCAAATAAAAGCACACAAAAAAAGAGCCAAGTCATTCGATGGAAATAATACAGACATCCTATCTAAATAGGTCAGAAGCCTTTATTAGTTAAACTCCATTGCTATTTCAAGTGAGTATCCTAAACTTCAATCCTTTAAAATGGCACTGATTCTTTTTCACAATGGATTATAATTTAAATCCTACTTAATTAAGCACAGATTGCAACAAAGGTTTGCATTAAGTCTCGAGTCTTTTTGTTGTTGTTAATCCTACCCGAGGATATTTTTCCATTGAATTTTTTTTTTCAGGGAGAGGGAGAGACAGAGAGACACATTGATTGGTTGCCTCCTGCATGCACCCCAACCAGGGCCAGGGAACCTGCAACCAAGGTACATGCCCTTGAGGGAAAGTCTCAAGTCTTAAGAGTATATTATGCTTAATATTTAAACATTTTCTTGCATCTGATTCTTGCATTACAAAAGGCCTGAATTAAAATATCTTCATTAAATATCTCGTAAACGAATATAAACCTTAAAAAAAAATTTCCCCCCCATGAAGAATAACAGTTAAGTTTTCCCCAAAATTCTTAGCAGTGTAAGATCTGACAGAGACTCGCACCCAAGCTGTGGGCACTAACAGCCAGGGGGGCATGTGTAGAATAATCGTGCCTGGCCTCAGAGAACACCTAATTAGGCATTTCACAATGTTCTGTCCCTAACCCCTGAAATGGACTCTACTGTTTTCAATCATATATGTCTCAACGAGGCCAAGAGATGACTGATGGTCACAAAAACTGAGATACCTTTTAGTATAATAATTAAGAGTGTAACGATCAGAGAGCTACACTCCAAGTTTGAAACTCAGCTCTGCTACTTCCTAGCTTGGTCACCTTGAGCAAGCTTATTTAATGTATCTGGGCCCCAATGTAACTCATCTTTAAAAATAGGGATGATGAGAGTTCCTACTTCACACAGTTGTTCAAAAATTAAATGAGTTAATATAAAGTAGCCAGCGAATGGTAAGCATTTGGATAATGCTTATATAAGACTTATTATCCCTAGTACATGGTTATTGAAAACAGCTCTTTCTTAAGTTCCTTTCTTTACTCTGGAAGAGCTTCTTCTCATATTATCCATCAAGTAAGAGTACGAATGAGTAACACCTAATGGGGCTCTAACACAAATGGCTGATACCCCCTCTCATCAACCCTCTGAAAAGGAAATTGAAAGCTGAAATGACCTTCTAGTTTTTCTGACAAATTAAACCTGATTCCTCTGTAATAATATAATATTAGAAATTAACTTGTATTATTAAAAACATTTTATCCCCCCGGATACTTTGCATTCAATCAAGTTTCACCATTTCCATGACGAAAGTCGAAATGAACTAAAATATTTAAAGGACACAAACGCAAAGTTTAAAACTTTACTTTTATCTGTAACAATATTGAAGATTATATCTCAAAACTCTGATATTCACGAATAGTACTGAGAATCAAACTTCACTCACAAACAAAATAACCAAGCCTTAGAAGCATCCTAACTTTTCAATTGATTAAAAAACAAACCAACCAACTAAAACCTAGGTAGCAAGTTACCACAATTTTAAAAAACTGTAGTAGGATCACAATTCTGAAAAAAAAATTATTGAACAAGTTTTTAAAAATGCTAAATGAAACCCTTAAAAGTTTAATCCCTTTGAAAAATTTTAGATCTTCTTAACTACAGTTAGTAAAGTATATTTATGAGACCAATTGGTGAAAACCAACAACTATCAAACAAAAGTACAGTTGGCCCTCAATATCCATAGGTACCACATTATTCACAGATTCAACCAACCACAGGATCAAAATATTTGGAAAAGAAATGGTATGCTGTTGGGGACATGTACTATGTAGTTAGGCCTACCTACGATGGTTGTATCTATACTGAACACATAGTTTTTTCTCATTACTCCCTAAACAATATCTATAATAATAAAAGGATAATATGCTAATTAGACTGGACAGCCGGACGACCTTCTGGACGTCCTTTCGGATGACCTTCCAGACAACCACTCTATGACACTGACTGGTGCCAGACCAGCCTAGGCGGGTGTGATGCGTTTGGTTGGGGGCCCAGCCATCACTGCATGATTGCCCCGCAGAGGGAGGCCCAGGCTACCTCATGGCAGCGCTGCGGCAGGTGGGCAGGGCCTACCTCTTTGGGGTGATCGATGGAGAAATCCCCCGGTCAATCACCCCAAAGAGGAAGGCCCAGGCTACCAGCGGTGGCACTGCAGTGGGTGGGCGGGGCCTCCCTCTGCAGGGGCAATTCATCGCGGAGCCCCAGTTGAGTGGGCGGGGCCTACCTATTTGGGGTTATTGACAGCAGGGCTCCCGGACTGTGAGAGGATACAGGCCGGGCTAAGGGACCCCTCTCCAGTGCACAAATTTCATGCACTGGGCCTCTAGTCTATAAATATAAAAGCCTAAGCAACCATTACAATGACTGGAATGACCGGTCACTATGATGCACACTGACCACCAGGGGGTAGATGCTCAATGCAGGAGCTGCTCCCTAGTGGTCAGTGTGCTCCCACAGAGGGAGCGCCGCTCAGCCAGAAGCTGGGCTCATGGCTGGCGAGTGCAGCGGTGGTGGCGGAAGCCTCTCCTGCCTCTGCGGATTTTAAAAAAAAGAAAGCACTGCCTAAAAATTTAAAATTTCCGTAGTGCCAAAGGCTATGGGCAAAGCTCTCCTTTACTCAAGGCATGTGACTAGTAGAATTTTAATCAATTGTGCATTAATTGTAATAACTCAAGCCAAAAGAGTTTTAACACTTAGAACCTTTGTTAACAAGAATACATATTATGGTGGTAGAGAAATTAGGTGATCAATAAAGCACTTTCAAGCACAAAAATACATTATAAAAATCTGTGAGGATAATGCATGGAAACAATTTCAAAGACAAAAAGGAACAATGTAAATTTTCAGATTGTCAGGAGCCTGTCCATATATTCTATAGAATAGATACCATCACATTAGTATTTATAGTTAATTGGATATATTTAAAATAAGGATATAAAAGCTTTCTTTCAAAGTGTTAATATTTTCAATAAATTGAAGATTACATTTCTCAACTATCTATATATCTATATATATAAAAGACTAATATGCGTGTGTCCCCTCGGGAGTTTGACCGACCGGGAGTTTGATGGCTCGCTATTACGTGTGCTGACCACCAGAGAGAGGCGTGGAACGAAGGAAGGCCCTGGCGGGCAGCCAGCAGCCGGGGAAGGGAGGCCCTGGGGAAGGGAGGCTCCGGCCACTGGCAGCCGCTAGGGACCCTACCATGCACGAATTTTGTGCACTGGGCCTCTAGTTTAAAATAAATGACAATAGATGCCAACTTGAAATTAAGTGACTTTTTTTCCAAAATTATCTTATGTGTATGTATACAGGTAAATTATTTTGAAGAACACTTCTTTATATACATTAATTTTCACTTAATCTTGTGTTATAGTTAACATTCTTTCCCTTTCACAAATGAGAAAACTAAGGTCTGGATATATCAGGTAGTTTGTCCCAGGTCACTATGTCATATTAGCTAAAAGGTATATGGTAAGAGGTGAAACTCTTAATCACTACACAAAACTGTTCCTTGTGATATAAGCATAGTCAGTAGGCAAAGACCTAGTAAAGAATCAAAAGAAAAGGAACCTAAGAAAATAATCAGAAA